CGACAGTGGCTTTTATTCTTGTTTGCATCTTCTGACCGTCCATTTATTTTACTGTAGGTACTTGGCGTTCACCTTCGATTTCCCTGTGCGGTTCATCGCTTCGTGTTTCGCTGATTGATTTCCGGTGCTTTGTAGCTCATACAATAAACGTTGGGTTCGGCTGCGTTTCACTTCTGCACACTCGGTGTCCGTGTTTGTTCTTACTGGTAATTGTCGCTACCGGTAACTGACTTCGGCTCTACACACTAATGGTCATACAGCACCATGGTGGTTTCAACATTTGCAAAGTGGCGTCGACAGCCTTGTACATGACCATCAGAAGAGAACAACGATCGATTAAGGGCCCTAGCTGAAGCGAATCCGAGTGTAAATGTTCGAAACCTTCTTCTGACTTAGTATCACATGTGACGGGTTACGAAATTCTAAGTGAGATTGAAGTGTAGATAACATTTGCTGTGTGGTTTCTGCTCGAATTAAACAAAAATTCAAGGAATCATATTATTGTAGTGTCTTCTGCTCTTGCTTTTTGCAATAAGAACGACCCGTTTCTCTACAGGATTGTGACGTGCGACGTGAAGTGGATCTTTTAAGACAATACGACGCGCTGCTCAGTGGCTGAACAACGATCAAACTTCACCGCACTTCACAGCACCAAAACAATTGGGTGACTATTTGTTAATCTGCGGCTAGTTTGATCCGCTGCGGCTTTGTGAATCCATGCGAAAGCATTACGAGGGGGAATTATTGCCAACAAATAGCCGAAATGCACCGAAAAGTTCGACGCACGTACCCGGCATTGGTCAACAGAAAAGCACCAATTCTGCTCCATGATAATGGTGGGCAGCGCGTTGCATAACTAGCCATGCAAAAGCTGGACGAGCTGAGCTACTCACCACCGTACCCTCGCCTACCGATTACCACTTATGCAAGCACCTGGATGACTTCATCTCAGGGAAGTTATTAAGACCCAACGAGAGGCTAAAAGCCCAGGATAAGTTAGCGGACAACCAAGACCAATGGATCTCATTGTGCGTGCTGATGAGTATCAAAGCCATGCCTATAAACTTATTACGAATTACTCATCATCCGAACTCGCCACACTATGGAGAACCCAGACTTATCCGGGTAACACTAGAATCCTCCACCGACGTAGAAAACGTTTTGCTCTCAGCAAGCGCACTAAAACACGGATCCTGTGTGATGCGCATCTAGCCTGATATCCCTTGGAGTGCGTGACAATCAAAAAGAAACACCGAAGAGTGACACAGCAAGCAACATCGCCTAAACACAATTTTCATACATGGCGTGCCAGAACATCCATCTAATGATGCTTCAGAGACCGTAAAGCACGATTTAGAACAGTGGCGGTTCATTCATGGAGCGCTTTGGATAATATTGTGACGCTATCTCTCACCAAATCATAGAGGATGCGATCCTAGAATTCTAAAACATGTGGTTCAATCGGAGCAACAAGCAACGGATGTTTTGGATCGTTGACGGAGAAATCGGAAACGTCTTCCTTCTGAACTTCGGTTAAAGGTCGCAGAAACTTTACAAACTTCAAATATCAAAACACCTGAAGCAGCAAGCGTACCGACGATAATACAGAAGCTTAACTTGATTGCTGCTTTAATTGACTCTGACGTAGGTCTAAACGAAGATTGGGACGCACTTTGGCCGATTCAAGTTGCAAACGAGGTATCACTATCCCATCAAAAAACGAGTAACTGCCGACCTCCCATCGGCCTACATTCTCCCACACTTGACCCCTTTAGCTCTCTGTGGGCTCCTACAGACCGAGAAACTAGCCTGCTTGTATACGAATGCTCAGGGTCTTTTTAACAAACTGGCCGAACTGAAAGATCGCCAAGCTTCCGGGTCATATGATGTCATTAGTATCACCGAGAGGTGGTTACACACGGGAATGACGGACGCTGAAGTTTCGCTACCGGGAATGTCGCTGATCCAGAAAGACAGGCTCACAAAAGGAGGAGGGTAATCCTGGATTACCGAAGCGACTTACAGTGCGGAGCCTTGGAGGATTCAGACTCGCACTTCCCCGACTCTCTTTGGTGCCGGTTGCAGTTAAAATGCAGGGACACGCCTTATTCTCTTGGTGTACCGCCCCCCTAACTCTACATCCGAAACCGACTACCACCTAGCGGCTGCTTTAGGATACAGTTTACAACGAAAGTACACTCACATCCTTATCATGGGTGATTTCAACATACATTGTGTGGAAATTCCTGTCATGATCGGAGAACAATTCAAAGCCGATCTACAAGATCTCGTAACCACTGTTCCTCTTTACAATCACATCACTTCGCCCACTCGGTTCAGAACAGGTAACAGGCCATCTGTGCTGGATCTTGTGCTTACCAACGAGGAGCATTTGATTAATGTGTTGGTTTTAGACTGCCCGTTGAGTCGTAGTCATCAGTTTTAACTTCGTCTGCTATGCGGAATTTCGGAATGTGAACGATGAGACTGTGCGAACCATCACAAGCTAAGATCGATTAGCCCAGCTCGTCAGCGCTACAACTTGGTCGTTCCTTGCCGAAGAACCCCCGGAAGTCGCCTGGCTCGAGTTCATCAACAAATTCAGTCAGCTGATTGCAGAGGCTTCAGAGATGAAAGTTTGCTATAAGTGTAAATCAGTTTCTTACGTTGGGAGCAGAACTCGAAAATGGATGACAATAAGCAACGCAGCATGGCGAGTGTACAGAGAAGCTCCAGCACAAGAAACTTGGGACAACTACGTAGCTCAATGTAACCACTCCACTCAACTGCTAAGAGAAGACAAAGCCGCCTATCAACAGAATATAGCAAAAACCTTCAGTGCTAACCACAAACTGCTGTACTAGCACGTTAATAGCCTACGAAAGGTGAGGCAAGGATTTCCTCCACTCAAGACGGCTGATGGCCCAACAAGAACGTCTATGGAAGCTGCAAACGCGCTGTGGATGCAATATGCTCCCACGTTTCAGAGGGTCCTGCCAGCAAGCGATCTTCTAACCTTTGTCCTCTCCTCGACAGAACTAACCCACATCACTTTTACCGTGGGGACTGTATTGCAAAAGCTGACGTTTCTACGCAAACACAGCTCGCCGGGTATCGACACCATTCGTCCAGAGGCACTGGAAGCAGCAGCAAGCTAACTGGCAGGATCTTTCTCTTACTTTTTCCAGCGCCGCTTAGACCAGAATCAAGTTCCCGCCATGTGGAAGCTTGGAATAATAACCCCGATTCACAAAGGTGGAAGCAGAACTGATCGCTCCAACTACCGCCCAGTATCCCTTCTTCCTCTACTCTCCAAGATCATGGAATCCATAGTTGCTGATGCACTGGTGTGCTATCTGGAAAACTGCAACATCATCACGTCTGAGCAGCACTGTTTCCGTCAACAGTGGTCGTGTACAACGAATTTACTAATTGCACGCAGTAGTTGGACCGAGGCAGCTGAGGCTGGAGAAGGCGTTGATGTGATCTACCTGCGTTTTTCCAAGGCTTTCGATCGTCTAGACCATGGGATACTACTCTCCAAGCTCTAGCATTACGGGATCGACGACCCTCTTTTAAGCTGGATTGCCAACTTTCTACTTCAACGGCAATTAGTGGTCAGAGTTCGGAGCTCTTTATCGGACCCCATACAAGTCGAGTGTGGCATGCCACAAGACTCACGTCCACGTTTGCTTTTGGTGTTTGTTAATGACCTTGCGCAGAAAATCGCTTCAAACTTACTACTGTTCGCCGACGATATCAGGATTTGTCGCAGGATCCAGGTGAACGCGACCAGCACCTGCTTCAGAGTGACCTAAATACGGTATACCAATGGTCAACCCAAAATTTACTGCATTTCAACGTGCGTACATGCAAGGTACTTTCCATCCGACCTCAGAACAGCTACTCATACCGGCTCGGAACGAATATACTACAAAATCAACTCTTGAATGTGACTTGGGTGTCCTGGTTCAAGGTTACTTGGGTTGCTCCAGGCAATCCGAAAAGGCCTCGAAGACCGGGAACCAACACGTCGGCCTGTTACGACAGGCGTTTGGACAAATAAACAGCTCCATATTTCCACAAATGCTCAGTGCGTATGTTCGCCCCCATGTCGAATACGCAATTCAAGCCTGGCATCCATGGCTGAAACACGAACTTAATACACTGGAGTAGCCACAACGTTAAGCATCTAAGAACGTAATTGGAATGGGCAATCTTTCCTACCAGGAGAGGCCGCAACGATTGGGGGTATTCAGCGGAAGCTATCACAGACTACGAGGCGACCTGATTATGGCACACTTGATTCTGCGAGACTCACATCATGTGTGCCGCCCTTTACTGCAACTCAGCAGCAATACAAAACTGAGGGGCCACTCATTGAAACTCGCTGTACAATATAGCTGTCTGGAGAGCCGTGGAATGCTCTCCCAGAATCGGTCGTCTCTGCACCGACATTAACAGTATTTAAAAGACGGTTGGATGATACACTTATCCAAATACACTTTGTCACTTAGCACTACGTCTCCATCCTACACCTGGAGTTTACCATGGAATTATTTGATGTTAACTGCGGGTACTTTGAATCTAAGCGGATTTCAGGACTACAAAGCAGCAAAGTCCTTATTTTCATATTTAAAGTACGAACTGTTTACTATCATTATTATCATTATGGTTATGTCGATATGCCCACCAACTACCCACCGGGAGTTGTATAGCAACGCCTTTTTAACTCACATAAATTCATTGTTCTATGAGTTTATCGCCTCCTGAACTCTGACATTCTATTCATCCGGGATGAATAGACTTTCTTCCCGTTGACAATAGTGTATTAATTCGAGTGTCTTTTATCTTAATTAAAAAGTTTATATTTGTGCCGAGATATGAGTGTTTACATTTTAATATTCATAGCCAAAATAACTTGTAATAACCGATTACACGATTGTCCCACGTTGCGACACCCTTGCCCGTCTGGCATTAGACATTCAAGCAGCCTGTGTGAGTTGCGTACATTGTATTGACACGCATTATTTTAACAATAGCAATAAAAATACAGAAATTAATGGCAAAATGAATGGTAGGTAGAATGTATATGTAAATCACAACCCCACTTTGTCCAAAGCACACTAAACTGTGGTTCGAACAGTTGAATCCTGTCAAGACGTCTTTCTGAATATCTTTGTACATCCGGTCACGTGCGGTAGGGTAGACCTGGCCCGTTAACCGTTGGCGTTGGTGAAGTCGATGGTCGGTCGGATCCCGGGGCTGCCGGACGACACCACTCGACACCATGGTGTGTGTGTTCCTGTCGTTTAAAATGCACAGATTAGTCCTCGTGTGTATTAGAGATTTGACTCATGTAGACGGCACCATGAGTAGAAATGCATTACACCACTGAATTACAACACAAGGTGAGACCGTCTTTCCTTGTTACCGTTACTATTTGCTTATAGATAACTCAGGAAGCGGGCACCAACCACCCTGAACAGCAGAGGTTAGCCGTTTCTTCCTTTTAAGACAAATGAACAGCACCCAGCGGATCCACTTAAGGAGATAGTTGCGATGATGACCCGGTTTTCCGGAGCGGAGCTTTAAATCTCTGGGCTACTGTCAGTGCTAAAGGCTGATTTGGCTTTGTCATTGTGTCTCAACTCGGTGAAGCGATCGAGAAACAATGTCTCAAATTAGCATGAAATGGTTTGGAGCACGCAAATAACGTGTCTTAGGCCCCCAGTATCTAATAATTCCAGACTGATATCAGATACTCCTGCTCAGTCATTTATGATCCACAACATCAGCTAGATTAACTGCGTAACGCTAATCAACTGGAGCACGGTACTAATCAGGCACTATCCTAAACATGTGGACATCCCATCGAGCCACGCTGATCCAGAATTCAAACTCTTCAATGCGGTTGCAGCGGTGAGCCATGCAGAGTTCCTTCACATCGCGATACAATTCGTGTAGCGAAGTTAGTGGTTGTGACGTCTTATCCAGCCTTTTGTGTTGAGCAACGGGCTAAGAAGCCCGTTTTCGGTGGTTCATCATCAGCCTATTGCAGACGCAAATAGGCGTCGTGACGAACCACTGTACACGAGCTTGTTTGCTACCTGTGGTTCCTGTGTCCTTTTCAGAAACTGTCTACAGTGTGTAGGGACTCGAGGGGCGGACGAATTTGTCTCACAGGGAACGAGCAGTCATCATATATGCTAAGTCTAACCATCAACATTTCCACTCATCTGCAAACGTCTTCCTATAGGTTGCGTGTCGCGCTCTTGTTCGAACTCCTGTCAAGCGCTACTTTGGTATTTATTTCTGGTGTACACGTATCTGCGGCCGCCTTGTGTTAAGACGTCGGTTTGTCTCTTCTTGACTAATTTCCTTCCGATTGGCTTATTATCACTATTAATATATCACTAGTACGCAGTTCGTTCTCAAGATGCCTCAATACGCCACTCGTTTTCTGCCAGTATTTGCTTTAAACCGCGTCCTCGTCACAAATGTCAGAACGAGTAGCATAAACGCTACTAGTATTTGAGTCACAGCGAATCTACCGATTCGACTGTGACTGACTGAAGTATGAATTGAACCCATGAGTTGATTTATTACTTTGTAGTAAGTAGGTGCATCATCTTGCAGGCAGTATCACACCGTGGCACTTTGGTCTTTCGACAACACTTTTCATTCTAAGGTACGAGCCCGTCTCCAGAGGTTCTAACCCAGATTCCTATTTCAAGGGATCGACCATCTGAGATGCGTGGTTTGTTACCAACTGGATGGCTTCCTATGCCATCCTACTTAGAACTGATGCTCCTTTTAATGGAAAAACCATCGATTGATCAGAAGTCTGTGTAAGCGAACCTTTGTTTTCGGTAATTCTTCATCAGGCTTGTACAATTACATGAAATGCAAACTTTTTCTATACAGACCCAACGGGTCGTCAGTCAACCAAATTGATCTTAGTGCGCTGTGACACACCTTCGGTTAGGTTACAGTTGCAGTCGTACGTGCGTACAGGTCAACTGCAGTCCGTCCTTTGTTAGTCGTCTCACCGGGATTGAGTTGCTTTATCCCGAAGTACACAGTGTCCCCTACGAACCATCCCTATCTGAACAGATTCAGCAGTGCAGTATTGCAATAGATGCATCAAACCTAAAGCTTTTATCTTCCAGTTACGCCGAGGCGAACTCAGAAAACATGGCTGCCTAATACGACGGTTATTCGAGTAAACGACAAGAACTGCTGTGCGCCAAAAGGGAAACGCATGGCAGATAAGCCAATAGCGACAGTAAGCACGCACGCGATGAGCGCTTGGCACCGTGTATCACTGCCAAGTAAAGTACATTAAAGGAGGAGTACATACACACTGCTGAAACAGTATTGCAGCGATCACACAGGCGTCACACATCCAACAGTATGTCCTGCATGAAGCAACATCCGCGTTTACTCGAGCCTCGCAGTGCCTTACGGTTACTCTTGTCAGAACGGATCCATTAGTGATGTCCATGATTCTAATCTTCAACATTCGGCCAACTGAGACTAGTTTAGTGGTTTTAAGCTTCATACGATTACCTCCAAGCAGGAGTATCAAAGGGTATCTCTTACTTGGGGACAGCATCACCGGATTGCCACCTCTCATTTCCGTCCACGTAGCACCTTAATCGTCGACTGTCTTGGAATTTGGTAGTATTCACTCTTGCATCTACAAGTCATGATAACCACGAACGTCTCTTGCTCTACTACACCTACCACAGGTCAAAATTGGCTTGTTGGGTACAATCCATGCGCTCCACATCCGAACCTGGAGGTATGCTGGTGAGAGCCACGATTAGTTTGGAGCCTGCGCACACGCCATCAGCATGCATAACACCGTTAGATAGGTGAATTCGGTTCACAGCAAAGCAGTGTTATTTCCACCCAACACACTGTGGATGAATCCGCAAGTGAATGTAACTAGAGTAAACCATCCGAAGTTGACCGGGAGTTTTTCATTGCCAGAAGGTTCACCAAGTAAACCTTAAGAATCAAGACCTTTGTATGTAGACCAATTTGGTCAAGTGCCTTTAATGGTCCACTTACGAGGATTGTACTTTAATTTGTAAACATTTGAATTATGCAGCATCAGTATCATATAGTCCGTCTGCTTTGAAAATTGTGCTACCAATATACAGTGATATGCTTTTAATCACTCATGGTCCAACTATGGTAACGAGACACGGTATATGCTACATCAGTAACGGTGCATAGCAGCTTACAGCAGCACACTGTGACATACCGCTGTGAATTACAAACCCGAAAATTTCAATTTTCCTCCTTCCTTCCATACTCTTTCTTACATGGCTATTTTCTGCTTTATCATTATTGTTATTGGTATAAAACATGAACAGAACATTCGTTTATCCGCACCGCTGTGGTTAACTGAGGCACCGATTTATTGTATCCTTATCACGCAATTTACCGCTGCATACTGTCCGCTGCCGACTCGGATTACTGACTGATGGGACTATTTTGGCCCACTTTTGAGCAACACTGAGGTTACGTCTACAAACCTAGTTGCAACTCAGCTCTGTATACGTTTAACTGTTTCCGCTACAGCAAATTTTGCTCGTTTTCTACTGGGAATCAAATTATTCATGAAGCCAGGCCTATAGAGTACAATGTTTCATCTAGTGACACTTATAGCCACTTTCACTTTACGTGCATCGGGCTCATAAGATCGAAAATTACGGTACGAAAGTTTTCATGGAACATTTTTTAGCTTATCATTAATTAGTAGATAGAACATGCCGGCTGTGTAAGTTCGTGTAGAGGACAAATGCGGTGCCCTTGTAAGAGTGGTAGGTGTTATTTGTAAGTAGTAGGGGATTTATTAGGTTTTTGTGTAGATTCGTCCCGGTTAGACACAGGCGGACAGCCACCACACATCCAGGAAAGCGCTCGACGGCCGTTTCGTCCTATCGGGTCTCGTCAGTAGCGCGCACCCGTCGAATCCTGCCGGATTCGAACCGACGACCTTACACTTGCGAGTCAGCGACTTATGCCACTGAGCCATGGGCGACGGCAGCGGACGCCATGACTGATATCCAACTGCGATATAACGCGACTCCTCCTCCACTGTCTTGCATGTTATGAAACTGCAGAGGACAGGGATGGCCCCCAGAACAACGACTTCCTTTGCAAGCCGCCACTAATCGAGGTGGCAAGTATGCTGCGAAGGCGACTACTGATTGTTTGTAAGTAGTAGGGTGATTTATTAGGTTGTTTGGCAGGTGTTGTGTGAGCGCGCCGTTTGTATTAGCCTTTAAGTCGCTACCGTATGCTAGAGAGCATGAAGCTATCTGCTGATGGCGTGCCCCATGTAGCTTTATACCCACAACAGCTAACGATTTTATGCAGGCACAGAATGACTACTCATTTTCTAACAGTAGACGCGTACCAGGCGATAACCAGCACCGCAGCATTTGAAGGTGAAACCAGATGTAACAACATCCACCCTTGCTCCAGAGGTTCCCATCTCACTGCCATAGTAAATGTTTGCTTGTTAGCTCCTTTTTGGTCAGTTCCACTTAAATGGAGCTGCTTTGGACTCGTTGTTTGTAAATACCTGTCGCTACCTTTCTCCTTGTGAACTGCACTATCTAAATGACAAGCTGTTGCGTGTCGCTGTTCAAACCACTGATCACCACCTAGTTCAGGGGTGTTCAAAGGCTTGGTAAGGAGAGCCACGTGAAGTAAACATATGTCGGGTCATATTCAGTCTGATAATAAGATAATAACAAAAATTACGCATGTACTAAAAATGTCCAAGCCTGGATTTATTATTCCATGATGAGGCCGCGAACCAGTTGAAATGTTAACGGGGACCGCATTTGGCCCGCGGGCCGGACTTTGGACATCCCTGATCTACTTGGACATTTTCCCTTCCAGCTCATGTTATCTCTACCCCTTGAGTTCAAGCAAGAAGTCATGGTGTGTCAGTGTTCAGAAAAGCAACATCGAAACCCCTCTACTTCGGCTACGGTCCTAGTGATCTTATTGACGGAAGTCTACTTCAAACTTAACCGAAATCTCAGTAGAAATTGCGTGTCACAATCCAACCACACAGCGAGCCCACTAAACTCAACTTTGAATTCCAAACTGCTGTAACAAGAGTTGTTCACGGATCTTAGTGTCCTAGTAATCAAAGCGTCAGTGCAGAGTTTCACTCCCCATAAAGCTGTTTCTACCAGATGAGTCTAAGCGAAGACGAAACGGATCATGGGGTATCAGTGTTGGGATACGCAACACCGAAACCTCTCCACCATCTAGGTACCTTAACTGACTGGGTACTGATCACTGAATTCGATATTACTAGGCAAGTCGTGTGTTTACACTTCTGTTGACATCCAAGTACTCTATGCAGAGTCATTAGCGATACGGGAACCTGGAGTTTATTGGGTCGTTTCTGGGCCTCTCCACTTGTATTGGGTGGACAGTGACCCAATGCACTTTCTGAAACAAATTAATCAAGCGCGTAGTATGTGTTCAACAATGACAAGTCTATTCCACTCATCGCAATCAAAGAATATGCTATAGGACCCTCACCTCTTGTTTGACATTGTGATGAAGAGCGTCCATATCTCCATTGGTCCACCAAAGCTACAAAGGGGAAAATGCATATTCTAGTCATCTTCGGAGAAGAAAAGATATTTTTCCACTAACAGGTTGAAGCAGAGACATTGTGTAAAAACAGATTTGGGTGTCATTCAAATCTCAGAGAATCAAGGCCAAGACTGAGCATTGGTTAGAATCTACCATTCTTATTTGGGGATTCCAATTGTATTGTAAAGAGGCCTACATTAATTTGTGAACTCCGCCCATTTACGCTGGCTACACTAGAAAGCACTTCCCCGGGGCCTTCCGGGTCAATCCCACCAGAGAGAGCTGCGGATAGAGGTCAGACAAAAGTAATCCCAGCATTTTCCTCTTAAGATAGACACCAAAGAATCTCGATGACCCTATTCTCCCAAAGCCCAGTAGTGAGAAACCACAGCTTGTTAGTTGTCATAAAGCACAAACATTGCGATTAGGCACTACTAATAGGAAGGCATAGCTATTTCACAACTGTCCTTCTGGCACCTTTTTCTACTCAACCCACCTTCAACTGATGATATGTACAACTATCGCAACCGTATCTTCGATAGCAGTCCATATACTTACACGGTGATGTGTCCGGGATGTGTCCTGAAGTTCCTGCAGTTAACACCACAAATCGAATTGTTTGGCGGTTTGTACATCATGCACAGGTATTGTTACCCGCGTAACTTGCTGCACGCATCCCATGATGCCCATTTGAATGTCTGTTCACCAGTTAGTTGTCAACTTACAGTCCTTATAGATGTTACTCTGAATAACCGTGTAGAGACCGCTAGACGCCGCAAAACCAGATAGACAAGAGGAGATAGTTTGATCCATTCAGCGCGTCATAGCCCGGGGCCTGCTCTTGGCTTGAGTGTCTTCAAGGCTTGGATACCGCCCTTCGTTATGTGGGTCAGATTGCCTCGGTCATGGTGGACGTCAGTCGTCACAATGTTCGTGGTACATTTCGTGATTCCCCGTTCTGGGCTTTGCTGTCATATGAGGAACGTTGACGGCACGCTTGGCTGAGGCTTCTTACACTGAACTATAATGGCATAAACAAGTTCTTGGCAACCGTCCTTCTACTGGCGAAGCGTGGGACTTTAATTTCCTTATCTGGGAGGCAACAGGTCACACCTTCCGTGGGGCATCCAAATGACTCCTTGGATAACAATCCAGAAAACAGGCTATCTTTGTTACCGATAAGGACTTTACTTTTCACGTAGTGCTTGCTTTCAGTATTGAAGTGACATGTGGTACGGCACTGAGTTACCGGAACTTCCCGGGGAAACTGGGCCTTAAGATGGTGTGATCGGGTGCGTACCTTCATGATGCACTAAGCTACACTAGACAACGGGTTCCTGGTGCCTCCAGAGTTACCCACACAAGATGTTAGTGAGTATGTGTCTGGTAAAGTCAGTCACAGTATCCGCCGTGTTGGAGATTTGGGAGAGGTCAATGGATTTGCTTACTCAAACTCGGCCATTGGGGCCAACCGTCAGCGTGTTGTAAGCCCAGCTCGACCGAGCAGAACAGAGTGCCATGCGTTGTGGAACAGCGTCACCCAGTGCTCAGCTGTTTATTGTTATCTGTCTCAAGCCAGACAGCCACCGGTCAAATAGGTGCAAACCCATTTGACTGTGGTCACAACTGTGTAACATACTTCAGATGAAAACATACATGATTTTTTCTACTCTTTCCAAGACTACGTGTGATCGGCCTCGAGTAGATCCACGTGGGACTTTGCAACCGCACTATCGACAATGACCAGCCTACTACGAGTCCGGACATTAAGTCAAAGGCTCTCGGTGAAATCCCTCAAGCAAACCTCCACTTCTCTTACTGAATCGTTGAGCACTTGAGTTGACGGCTGAAAATAGAGCATCTCAAATAAACACTGCTCTCTCTGAATGGCGGATCACAGAGTATCGTCTGCCTACAAGACGCAGTTGCCAACAATACTTCTTCTTACAATGCTTAAGAATATCCGTAGCTCAGGATGTGCATGTGGGCATTGCACTGCTCTCCGACGACACCTTCATCATTCTCAAACGCTCCAAATTAGAGGAGACACATAAGCTATTCAACAGTGTGTTCGACGGCATCCAATACACGAGGGAAGAGATAAACAATGGGCAGCTGCCATTTTTAGACGTTCTCATACATAGAACTGGTTCGGGACCACAGGAAACTACGGTCTATTGAAAATCAACACATACGGACCAGATGCACAACTATAACAGTATTCATTCGGCAGTCCACAAACGCAGCTGCGTGTTAACACTTTACAAACGGGCACAGACGCGCTGTAACACGCAGCAGCTGAGGCAGGCGGAGGAAGACCATTTCTTCAGCCTGTTCAAACGGAGTTCGTACCCAAAATGCTTCATACTACGCTGCTTGGCCCCAAATAAAGCAACACAACACGCCTCAACAAATGCAACTGCTGAAAAACGAGACGTGTTGTCTTACCTCAACGGGATCTCGGAAATGGCAGCGAGACTTCTGTTGCCCGTGGGAGTCAAAATTGCCCACCAACCAACAGAAACATTTTGTAATGAACTTGTCAGTGAAAAATAAACTTAGCCAGTGGGAGACATCTGATCTAATCTACAAGATGTGCTGCCAAGACTGTGATAAGTACTACACGGGACAAACAGGAAGGAAGCTTGGCACACGGCTACATGAACATGTCTTAACAATCCGCGGCCATGAGCAGAATTCTTTGAAGTCCATGCATATGGATGCCGAAAGCCACCACTTCGACCTAGAACACCCTGAAATACTCGGAAGAGCCACTAACCGGCAAGCAGGTGAGTTTATTGAGGCCTGGTATTCAAAACAGAACTCGATCAATAAGCAGATAGCTTTCGAAGTCGCTTAGGAGGTTCTGCGAAACAGGACATTAAAGCCGCACTGACGATGTTGTCGAGTCCGACAGCGAAAAGTCTGCAAAATAATAATTCAGCTCGGAGAACAGTGCAATACCCACTACTTCTTCTTGCCTTCTTACCCACCCCCTATTTCGCTCTTTTCTTCCCCGGTTACTGAGAAAGATGGACCACCGATTTGGTAACAATAACTCGACATGCATCTAACTCACTCTTCAGATTAAGTGCCTGACGTCACAAAGCTCCTTCAGAATCGCACCCCACATCAGATCGGGCAAGACGCAGTACGAATTGGATCGTTGAAATTATTTAAGGCAGAAATTCAATATGGCGGTCAAAATAGTTGGAGGTTCCCAGCTTCGGATGACCCGTTTTAAAATGGGCGTGCGTGCACCCTGGCTAGGCACCAGCTGCATTCCACCAGTTCCGTAAAGGATTTAGGCGTACTCGCACGCTGTGACTTGAAGTCTGTCGACAACGCGAACAATCAAAGGATTATGCCTACTTTGGGTACTTAGACGCAGCTTCAACATTTGGTCTGATGAGATTGCCACCTGTCTGTTCTCTTCCCTGATAAGACCGGTATTGTATACGGCTAATCCGCCTATTGCCCGATAACAATAGGTGAGATGCAGAGACTGTAACGGGTCCAGCATGTAGCTACCCGGCTCATCCCGCGTCGGCTTCTAGTTGATCTCATTATGACGCACTGCATACTTCCCTGCACTTTCGCGCACCAAAGCAACACACGCGGACACCGGTACCGACTAGTGGCACCGGATGTAAAGCGTATTGATCACCCTCTATGCTTCGAGCGCCGAGTGATGCAATCTTGGAACAACTTGCCGGAGATGCTAGTCGATGCGAAATCGGTGTCGGAATTTAAGGGATGTCTTGACGCCAACTTTGCGGACTACAACTTTAGGGAACATATCGCACGGGGATAACAAATAGTGCAGCTGCCATATGCTGCCACAGCGCAGGAATCCGTGATGTGACTCCGCACAGGTGCCCGATCTAATTCCCATGGAGCAATACAGATGTGTGTCTTCTCTCTCTCTCTATTCTCAGTATTTAGTACTTAAGTTTGGATTAGTATTTTCGCAGCTTAATCACACTGATAAACTTGCATCTATTCAGGTAGAGTAGACCGTTGTCTGTGTTAAACCAGACGCGCACCGATAACATCTGAAACAACAGCACACGCTACCCGTGCTTACGTATTGTGACCACCAAGACGAAAAAGGTGTTTTGTTCGGTTTTTCCCTAAAGCAGTCTGGTCAAATGCAATGTAATCATTTTTGTGACAAGAAACATCAACACAACCACTTATCCAATGACCTGCCTAACAGTTCCATCTGACGGGACGGTCCACCTGCCTAACACGGCTGAATGGACGTGAGCACAGCGAATATCCTCCAATTTGCCGTGTCGATCCCATGTATTAAGTAGGGAAAAAGGATAACAGCACCGTTTTCGCAGTGACCAGGCATGCAGGCTACCAACATGTCTCCCTTTCTCTTGTGTTTCCGCTTATAGTACGGATACTCGATGCAGCCACTCTGGTCACGATACAGCCACTTTCGAAATGAAAAGACAAAGGTCCCTGGCGAAACTTGTATGGGGCACTAAGGAGACAGAATGTGCAGCCAAAATATTGGGTCGAAATAAATAGTTCATGAGAGAAAAGACCTAATGGTAGGTTCCTGACTATGGCAGATACTAGATGAGCAAAAACACGTTTGTTGGCTGAGCAAGTAATGTGCTTACTGGAGAGCTTCAATGTAGGTCATTCTGATGGGTCCACCTCAAGGTAAAACGATGCCATTGCATTAGTCCCGTTGGTTGGCCAATCGGCTACAGGCGGCATACAACCAACCTTCTCCGGGCTGCTGCAGCCAGAGAGAACTAGCTTCGATGGCTCCTACGGACAGACTCCGGTAACACCTCCCTCGCGAAATGGGACGTACGACTTCCTCCTGGGGTCCAGCTGCATTCTGACCACGGACCTCCGTATCCGATCAGTTCATCGTCGTGGCCGCAAGCTCGTTCCTTTTGTAATCACAGGGTAATGCTCAGTTGGTGGCTCCCAAGTTCCAGCATGTATATCGAAATTGTCCAGCAGAATAT